TTATTAGTTTCACGTCAATTTAACAATGGATTTATACAATCATAATCAAATTTTATAATACACTCAATTGAGTAGATCTTTTTAACATTTTTTTTTTTTATTGATTTTTTAATGAAAGTAAATCTAAAATTAATCAAGTTCTTAATATTTCAATAGTACAATCTTTTTAAACACCAAAAGTTCTAGTTTTAAGTGATCAATTACAAATACATAAAAATGCAAAAAACTTTGAGTTTTCCTGATGAATTCAATGTAAAAAGTAATTATAAAATTTTCTACTGTATATTAATATTAACAATTTCATTTTTTTAATTTTCATAAATTTTTATTAGACAAATCAATTGATACATTGAATAAGTATAATATGGTTTGTAATTTTTATTTCAAACCTTACATGTTTCTAACCCAAAGAAGTCTAGGGACAACATTAGGATTCCTAAAGCTGTCCCTACATAGTTATGTAAGTATTAATCAGGTATATAATATTTTATTATTTAAATTACTGTTAAACAATTTTAAAATCATAGAAATTAATAATATTGTTGTAGATTTTTTGCATTGGACTCAATTTTTATTATCTTTTAATTTACTAATCAAGTAATTATTGTATAATTTATGTGATGAATGTGTATGTTGATTTGAAACTTCATTATTATGTTAATTGATTCTTTTTTGTTTTTAGCTTTGATGCGAAGCTGAGATGTATTAATTTTACTATGATGTATTTTATAGAAAAATTTATTCAAAATTAATGAAAAATGGAGAAGTTTTTGTATGAAATATTTAAAAAATATGTAATTCAATTAAACATGGACTCATTATTTATTATGTTTTTATTTTGTTAAATTGAATTATTGGATTATATTATTTAAATATATTAAATATTTAAATATTTATGTAGTGTTGTATATGTACACAAATATTAAAAAAAAAAAAAAAAACAATAAATAAAATTGTTGCTTTAAATTTTGAAAGGTACACACAATTTTAGTGTTAAAAAGTGATCACCTCCCTATATTTATTGTGTAAATATTTATCAGTGTCTATTTTATATATTCTACACCACTAAAACTGCTGCTAATCAGAGACATAGATTAAATACACATAGATAGGCCACGGCATTCAGACAATTGGCTACCGATTTTTTTTTAATTTATACCCGTAGAGATAGCGCTATATATCCTCTCGGAAATATTAAATATTTAATAATAACTGTCCAGTTTGCTGATATTCAAATAATAGTCACGATTATTGATGTACAGCTAACATCGTTAGCGCAAATTAAGATAAGAACCAGTTAATACTAAAAGGCNGCGCAAATTAAGATAAGAACCAGTTAATACTAAAAGGCTATTGCTTATTTGATTTAAATGAAACTTTTCGTTTTAAATACAAATTCGATAAAACATGTGTTATTTATTTTATTAATATTGATTTAAATTTGACTATTATTTATTTTTTTTAATTTTCTCTTAGTGTTGAAAATCTTAACTTATTACATAACAATTTCTCGCTACCGATTTGTCCACTGTCAAGATTTTTATATTATTTGGTGTTTAATTTCTTAACTTACCAGTAATCAAGTCTAATAAAGATATTTATTAATAATTACACATATTATAAGGTTTTCATGTATAAAATTAGTAATTTATTTTTTCAAATATACAATGAAATATTAAAAAAAAACAAATTTTAATAATATATAAATTAAAATATAAAATATAGTTTAAAATATAAAAATTTTAAAAACAAATATTTTAGAAAAAAATATTCAAACAAATAAAGCAATTTTAACCGAAGTTCAGATCACTAAAAATGATAAAATAAGAAGTTAAGATATGTTTTTACCGCAATTAAAAAAAATACACTTATTTTCATGTTGTGTACTCATTGTTATAATTATAATTATACAGATAATAATACAAATAAATATATTAAATGGTAAAACCACGCAAAAGGGACCTTAGTCTTCAGTACTCAAGTGAAAATATGAATAGTGATTATGATATAGGGAAGATTTTTTATCTAGTTGGATATTTTTACATTGATAGGTTTTAAAAACAACACAAAAATACAAAATAGGCATGATAATTCGTGTTACAATAAGATGTAAACATAGCTAATACATCCTGTTTTTAATGCAATTCCAAATATAATCCTGGCGCCGAGATATCGTATTATTAAATCGTACTCTTTTACGTGGTCTATAGTACAATTGTTTTACGATCTCTCAAAAAGTGTTAAATTTTATTTTTAATCGTGTTAAATTTGTAGGGTCACATGAATTCATGAAATTAGGCTTGTCAGAATCTATCATTAAAGTAAAAAGGACCCATACTAATTATACAACTGGAATTATATCTCTAGCTATATATATGATCTTATAGTAATTAAGAAAATGTTTTTATTGGAAGTTGTATAACATAAATCAAAGATAATTATGCAATCATACCGATTTTAAACACATCAGAAAAAGATGTTTCGATTTCTATAAATAATATTAAATTTGATTTTTTACCACAAGATTTCGTGCTCATAAATAATATGTAAATACTATCAATTATAATAATGTTAATGCTAATAATAATAATAATAGATTAACTCTTTTAAATCAAAACCTTAAATTAAATCATTTAAACGGCAAAGAAAAGTCGTCTATTAATAATCTATACAATCAATTTAATGATATATTAATTTTATCCGATGATAAATTATCTTATACTAATCAAATTGTACATAAAATAATTACTCCTAATGCTCATCCAATTAATATAAAACAATTGATACCCTATGTGTCATAACGAGGAAGTTGATAAACAATTAAAAAATCTTTTAAAGCAAGGTAGCATTGAAAAGTCAAATAGTCCATGGAACTCGTCTAGAATTCTAAATTTTATAAAGGAATATATATATATTATGTTTTGTCTGTTAATAAATATTTTTTTGATTTGTTTTATACTCTTTTTTTATTTTCATAAAAATTATAAATTAATTGTTCAAAAAAAGAGTTATATAAAAGATTAAATAATCTGAATTATTTTTACCATGTCAGAAATATTTATTAACGATATTTTTTAAAAAGGCACTAGTATAGAATTTACTCAATACCTACAAAAAAGAATGAACCAATAAGTTAATACTTATTTGAGTCATTATGATATCTTAACTATATGCTATGTTAAGTGGAAAAAATGATACATAATAAATGTATTCGTAAAAAATTATAAAGTTATGTTTATGAATAAAATGAAATTACACCTTTCAGAAAAGCTAGATACAAAAATAGTGCTTATTATTTAAAAAAAAAATGTATAAACATGCAAAATCATGTTTGAGTATCGTATTACTGGCTTGTTAAATTAATTAGATTAGAAACATAATTTTAAGTAAAAATTAAATTAAAAGCAAAGTATCAGATATCTTATTTTAACAAATTTTAAAATTTTATATTTTTCATAATTTCTGAATGTTTAGAATTTATAATACATGATTTCAAAATAGGTTATTTTATGTATTTATGTTATTTAAAATATGTTACATGTTTATATGTATGAAAACACTATTAATTATTTATTCTATGTATTATTGTTTTGTATTAACTTATATCAGTTTGCTGTGTATCCTATTGTGACTCAAATGTGTAATGTATTAAAATTTTTGAAATAATATTTTAGATATTATTTCTCTTTAAGGGCGATGGTGTCGTGAACCCATAATTATTTTGTAAATTTTAGTTTTAAGGAATTTATATGCAACATTATAATTACTATAAAGTATTATAGTATTAATATTTTAATGATTATTTAATGAACAATGTAAATATAAAAGGAGCCTTGACCATCTTCTCAGTGGTCAGTGTTCTATCAGTGAATGTTATATTATAATTAGTTATTACTTTGACTCTTCCTGACAACACTTATCCGCGTTGTCAAATTGGACTTCGAACACCCAGTTTACCACTTATTATTTGGCATCCCTGAAAAATTTGGTTTCAATTGGTTACCGCATACGTAGGTAAATTTAATGGGATACTATTCTAAAATAAATGAAATATTTGAAGCGGACTTAATAAAAAGAAAGCCATTTATGCACATCTAATAGTCCATAATAATAATATATTTTATTATTGTGGACTATTAGATGTGATTATTATATATCTTGATATAGTAATACAAATACAAAATAAGTATAATATAAAAGCTTTGTGATATTGGGGCACAGCTCACATGATGATTTTTATCATAAAGATTTTTCAACTCATCCTAATTACAAAGTAATTTATCTGCCACTGCTTTCTGTTTAAAATAATTTATAAAAATATTTAGAGACCAACAGTTTAGTCTTGTACTGTAATACCACATTTTATATCAAAGTCCTGTTAAGGATTCTTAGTATAGTATTAAAATAAAAAATTAAATAAAATTTCAATGAAAAATAATTACAAAGAGTTAAAATCATAAATAACCTTACATTATGTCATAAAATGCAATTAACGTGCATAACAATAACAGTTTAATTATGTGCATCATACATTCATTTAATAATTATTAAAGATTTAAAATACCACGTATATTTCAACCAATAGAAGCACTCAAAATTTACGCTATCTATCAGCATAATCGCCTGCGTCCAGTGCATCGTTTCCCTGCGACCATTCATGATAAAAATTGGACTGCCATAATTGTGTACGGCGTGGTCTATCTATGTGTATTTAATCTATGTCAGAGAACTTAAATTTTTCCATTCTTGGCAAGGGATCTATCTGTTTTTATATAGTCTATGTTATCTTTGTCATAATATAACATCACATATATGATTAATTGTTTTATCTTATTTGTGATAATATACTCTTATGACTTATCAATTCCTATATTTTTAATTTTATAACAAAGAAATGGTTCTACTGTGAAATATTATTTTAATTTTAAATTAATTTGAAAAGATGGAAAAGAAATTGGAAATAATGTTGAATTCTTCCATAAAGAAAATTGACACGCCNAATGTTGAATTCTTCCATAAAGAAAATTGACACGCCTATTATGGGTGGATGTATCAATAATGGTATTATTTATCTAACTGCAGAAGGAAACAAAATTTTTGTTAAAACAAACAATAAATTAGGGGTAATTATCTGAAAGGAAAACATTTCATAATACTTAACTGAATAGTATAATTAACAATTATAATAATAAATAGTCAGATAAAATGTTTAATGGTGAATATGAAGGATTAAAAGCCATTTGTAACACTAATACAATTAGAGCGCCAGTACCTTATGGATTAGGTTATGCAGAAGATGGTCAATATTTTATTGCAATGGAATTTTTAGAAATGACTTCTTTAAACTTAAAATCATCCGTTGAACTCGGTGAAAAGTTAGCAAATATGCATTTATATAATTTAAAGTCCAAGGAACATCCAATAAAAAAATTTGGTTTTTATGTAGAAACATGCTGTGGATTTTTGCCTCAGGATAATACATGGAATGAAAATTGGATAGTAAAATAATTTTATGTATAATACTTTTGAAGAGAATAAAATAGTTATTGTATTTTTTAGACGTTTTTTTGTGATTGTCGCCTGGAATATCAAATTAAATTGTTGCAATCAAAGTCAAATAAATGCTTGAAGATCCAAGTATTCACTTTTCTATGAAACCAATATTTATATTTAAACAAAAAGAATTTTTATTATTTTAGAAAATTATTAATGATTTTTGGCCACGTTTAAAAAAAATAATTCCAAAATTTTTTGAAGATATTGAAATCAAACCGTCTTTAATTCATGGAGATTTGTGGTCTGGAAATGCAGCACAGTGTGCCTCCAAACCTGGTAAAATTATTATTATTTAATTTAAATTAATATAAAATCAATTAATTATTTTATGATTATAGTTATTTATGATCCAGCTGTTTTTTATGGACATCATGAATATGATATAGCTTCTACAACTTTATTTGGTGGATATTCCAAATATTTTTATGATGCTTACTTTAAAATAATTCCTAAGGCTCAAGGCTTTGACAATCGAATGTTACTTTATCATTTATTCCATTATTTAAATCATTGGTAAAAAAAATTACTTATTAAATAAAATTAAGTGTTTAAATGTAAAAGCATATTTTTTAGGAATCATTTTGGTGAAGGCTATGATATTTCAACAATTAATACATTTGAGGAATTATTGAAATTATATTAATTCATTAATTTTTTGCTATAAATTATTAAAAAAATAAAATATACAGACCAATTAGATTCATAAAAAATTAATAAAGTATTTATTGATGTTAACCACAAAAAGATGTATAATTTTTACAGGTTTAATGTAAAATTAATAACGAAGTCGAATATTAATTTTTCTTATACTAAATTATTTATTATTATTATTTTTATTTTTTAAATAATATTTTTTTTGACATATTATATATTTTTACAAGTGTTTTTTATTATATTAATCAAACATTTATTCAATATTTTTAAGTAAAAATTTTGGCAATGAGACCAAAATATAAATCTGAAAATGTACAAGTTATTTAAAACCAAATGACACCAAAATATTAATTGTATCAAAAGTTATAAGAGTTCTGAAGTAGGTCTGTTCCATCATGTATTTGCAGGTTATTTTTTGACCATTTTAAAAACTTAAATTAATTCAATTTTAAAGGAAAAGAGATAGAACTAAAAATATATTTATGAAAATTTTAGTAAATAATAAAATTTGATGTTGGGCAGATATCAAGTAAGGTGTAGTTATCGTATAACTTTGTATGCTTTTAATTTTACTTTTTAAAGTAATGATTATAATTTATCTATATTTATTAAATAATTTTTTTAATATAGCCTAGGATTGAGTAAATTTGTTGAAAATTTTATATCTTTTAAGTTCACCCTTAGTTGCGCTTATTGGGAAATGTCTGTTTTGTTTAAGTAGAAGTACTAATTACACCCATTTAATAATTTATAGAAATATAGGTGTTTTAAGGATTCATATACAAAAATTAATTATTGAAATTTTTACATGGTCTTATATTAAGTCGAATAAGTAGCGTACCCAAAAGGAAAAGAAAATACAAGACTCAAATTTTGAAGATATAATTCACCTTATATTTTAATATATATAAAATAATTTCATTTTACTTAATATAATGAAATATTTATTTATAAATTAAATTATATTAATTTATAATCTTTTTGCTAAAAATTCCCTTTCAATATAAAAAAAATAATTTCTTAAGACTTGTTCATAATAGGGTAGTGTTTAATTACTGCCACATTTTAAACTAAAATCAACATAAAATTCTGTGTTATTTTTGAAATTGTTTTTTTTTAATAATTTGTTAGACTATTTGTTTTTAACTTTTCCTTAACTTTGAAATGAACTATATCTAAATTAAAAAGGAGGCCAATAAATGTCTAATTTGAATAACATTAGTACTTAAAAAAAATGTAATAGCTAATAAGAGTATTTTAGATTCGATGCGAAGCTGAGAAGGTATTATTTTACTAAGATGTGTTTATTTTTTTATTTTTTTTTTTTTTGTGTCTGTTACCACTTTTTCTCAGCTTTCACCGAACCGATTTCTTTCAATGATACATCAAAAGATCACAAATCGTATCTAGTCGAAGACATT